TAATAATAATAATAATAATAGATAATAATAATAATAATAATAATAGATAATAATAATAATAATAATAATAATAATAATAATAATAATAATAATAATAATAATAATAATGTTTAATTAATAAATAAATAAGAAACACACTTACCAAAAGTAATTCATACGGTACCGGTAATTTAAATGGTAAATGTTTATGCAAAAATGGTGTCATAAAAGTTTTGCCGAAATAAAGAAATGCCATACCAAAAATTGACATTCCCACTGTATAGAAATTAGTTTGTGGAATATGTGTTAAAATACTAGAAACTCTCTGAAAAAAAAAAAAGAAGAGAAAAAAGAGGCAACTCTAAATGTTACTCATAATATTAATTAATTTGCCTAATTGGCAAATTTTCAATTCAATTAAAATTTGTTTAATTAATTAAATAAGGAGTAAAATATGACAGGTAATTGGAAGTTGGATGAATGATTTTCAACAGAAATCTTCCTAACATATTTGGTAAATATTAAGAATTTAGTGTAAAAAATTCAAAATTGACAAAAATACGGTAAATTAGTTGAACATTACTTTCAATAGAAATGTTCATAATTAATGATTAAGATTCAGGTGCAACAAAATTTTAAATGGACAAAAATTTAGCAAATAATTCCCAGTAAATTAATTTAAAATGATGCTTTCCGGCAAATATATCGTCAGGTTAATTGCTTCTAATTAAAAAATTAATAACAAAAAAAAAAGCATCACACAAAATTTGTTTATAGCAACTCTGCAAGAATAAATTTAAATTTTTAACAAAGTACTTTTTGCTTTCAAGAAAATGTTTCATAATGCTTTTTAATAAATATTTAATAGTTATGTTTGGAAACCTTAAAAAGATATCCTATTCCGTGAAATTTTGGTGCAGTAATCCCGAAAAAATCATCCATCTGAGTAACAAGAACATGTACAGCAGAACCGGTAATAAAACCGGATACTAATTGATCGGAGAAATAAGCAGTAATAAATTCCAGTTGTAAAATACCTGCGATTAACTGAAAAAAAAAAAAGAGAAATTTTATAAAGGATATGTACGATAAAATAACAATTTTTAAAAATTGAAAATAATTTTTTATGTATTATCATAAAATCTATCTGAAATCGAAATTTATCACAAATTTCAGGTTAATTCATTAATAATAATTAATTGCTATTTGCAATAAACAATTTTTATAATCAAATTTAAAATGGTCAGAAATAATTAAATTTCGTTTCATATTTTGTATATGTGTATTAAAATTATTACACATTACTAACCATTACTTATTGGATAATTACAAGCGCTAAATGAAAAATAAATCATAAATTAATAATTTTAAAAGCGGAAAAGGTAAGTTTAATTAGATAATTATCGAATTATCAGTAAAAAAAAAAAAAAAATTGTATCAACAACCTCAATAATTCCTGTTGTAAAAGCAAGTGTTGTAGTTATTTCTATATAGGTTAGTGAAGATGTCGTATTATTATCAACAATAATCATATCATTATCATTTATTTCTAATTGTTGTAACATAATTTCATCGCTTGCTAATGCAGACATAATAGCTGTCACAGCAAATGATCCTATAAATAGCACAATTTTTTTTTTTAGGTAAAAATGATATAATTAAAATAATTGATATCATTAATTAATCTATTAAATTTTAAACGAATGATAAAAGTAATAAATGAATTTTTAGCCATCAAAATTAACTGATGGAATTTTTTTCGATTTCAATTGATTCACAACAATTATTCGCAAAACATTCATTATTTAATTTAATTTTATCAAAATTAAAAATTAACAAAAAAAAAAGAATAATTACCAACTGATGCATGTTTTGATGTCCCAAAAAACATATAGAAAAAAACTGGAAAAAGTGATGAATATAAACCATATACTGGATCAACACCTGCTAATACTGCATATGCAATACCTGTAAAATATACCGGTGATATGATTACATTTCGATCTATTAAAAAAGATTTAGAATAGTGTTATCATAAATATTATTATCATAATTATTGAAATATGATAGTATTATCATAATTATTAAAAGTACTATTATAGTTATTAGAAATACTATCATGATTATTAAAATATGATAGTAGTATTATCATAGTTATTAAAAGATAGTGTTATCCTAGTTATTAAAAGTATTATCATAGTTATTAAAAATATTGTTATAGTTATTAGAAATACTATCATGATTATTAAAATATGATAGTAGTATTATCATAGTTATTAAAAATATTGTTATAGTTATTAAAAATATTATCATGATTATCAAAATATGACAGTATTATCATAGTTATTAAAAAATAGTGT